AGGAATTCTGGGATACACGGAGCACCAGGTTTTTTTATTTATTAAATGACCTGTGGCTATTGTTTTTAATTTAATATAAATTTCCATTGTCGTTATACATTTATAATCTCCTGGTTCCAGGTTGTGTCCACTGACTTCAATGGGGATTGCCGTTCATCCATCTTTGACGCTGGTGCTGGTATTGCTCTCAACGATCACTTTGTCAAGCTGGTCACATGGTAAGATACTGTTTTACTAAATCTCATACTCTTTTAATTTGACTAACTTTTGTCTGCAGTCTTTTGGAAGATTTGCCTTGTGAACAAGCTTTGCCTCATCTGAATTTTAAATGAAATTGTCTTATTACAACTTAATCTTGATTTTATGTCATTTTCAGCCTTCATTTTGTTTATAGGCTATTTATTTTAAAAAGATTTCATAACCATTGTTTTAATTTCTCAAACTTTGTACTTTTTTTTTTATTTTTTATTTTTTAATGTTTTTAAATGAGATTAATGTCTTCCCATAGGTATGACAATGAGTTCGGTTACAGCAACCGTGTATGTGACCTGATGGCACACATGGCCTCCAAGGAGTAGATGTGACCCCTTTGCTGTTTCTTTTTTTTGATACGCGACCATTCTCCCATCTGGTTGAATGTTTGCACCACGTGCCTGGAAGGAAATTACATGCTTAAATTGAAGACCAATATTATTTTTATATACTCTGTTCTGTTTCGTGTGTGAGGTTAAAAATAAATGTTGACTTCAAAGGCTTTTCTGTCTGTTAACAACTTGCGATGGAATAAAAGTCCTCTGTTTGTGAGAAATGGAGAAAAGCTGTCATTTGTTATTTCAATAGCTTGTTCGGTGCAATCATTAATCTTGGAGGGTTCTTATTTTAAAGAATGTTTTCTTTTTGACCAGGGTTTTTTTTTTTTTTTTTAAATAAACCAAGTCCTAACAGTTTACAGGTATGCATAATGGGGAAACTTAACTGACAAGCATCGGGTGGGGTCTTTTACTTTAGCCCATCTACTTTAATATGTTATTTAGAGCTAGATGGATAGTTTTATTACAAATAGTGACTACTACCAGCAATTTGCATAAGTGACTAAATGAACATTTTTGTGTAAATACTGGGGAAAACTTTAAAAGGAAAGTTTACCCAAAACTGATCCTTTCCAGGGTCAAATTTGATCCTAAGGGCTGGTATCTTGCAGGGTTTTGCCAACTGTAATCAGACACACCTGAACAAGCTAATCAATCTTGCTGTAAGCTTTGTTGCAGGTGTTTAAGGAAAGTTAGAGCTGCACTTTGCCAGACTGAGTTTAGACCTTTTAGTGTCCTTCTGCCAAAATCTCAATCATATACTCTAGGTTGGTGGGGGAAAACATCTTTAGTAGAAACAAATAATTATAATTTATTATTTTGTCTCAAACCTGACCCATTTTCTCCTATGAACAAAGAGAATTGCTCCATTTGAGTATAGCGGTGTTAATAAATTAGGGGATGAGTAAATAACAGAATTTAGAATTTTAGTTAATGCTTTACAAAAACAGTACATAATGTACTAACATTTAAAGCAGGAATGTCTAACTGTGTGTCTGTCTGTCAAATATTGTCGGCAGTGAAATATAACAAGCCAATAAACCTTGTCATGAGTAATTTCCTAATTCATTAAATAAAAAAAATATTACTTTGAATAGTAATAACTAATCCAGTGTAACTTTTTTTCAGATTGAAATTTATTGCAATAAAAACAACACATGGTGGAATTCATTGCTAAACACACTAGTTAAACAGAATCTTGCCTTTATTCACTCACCAGAGATCTTGTTTTCTGTCCTCTGTATTTACATTTTTAAACTTAATCTGACTAATTTTCATTGCAACCTTTAACTTTAGATAGTCTCTTTTTCTTTTTGTAACTTAACAAAACGTATGCAAACAAATATAAGGTTGCAATAAATTTGAAATGATAATCTCTAAACCGTTCTCAGATGGCAGGGTGGACCAAATCAAAGTTTTTTTTGGGACACTTTTGGCCAGCAGGACCTAGTTTGAGTATCTTTAAACCTTATATGGACACTTAACTCAAACCTTGACATTTTAACAGGAATTCATTAAGAAGTAATAATAATGTTCCCCCCAGAGACTGGGCATGGGATAACTTTTTTTTTTTTCAAGGTATACAGTGGTTTGTAAAAGTCAAGGTTTTAAAACCATCAACATGCTAAACATGCTATACTGCTAAACTGTTTCTACAGTATATGTAAGATTTTTTTTTATGGTTTTAATTTTTTTTTAGGACAACGGTATCTTCGGCAGAAAATGTAGCCAAAAATGTCATTTTAATTTGTAAAGAAATTTGTGTTTTTGAAACTAATGGAGACAGCAGAAGTCAATGATTCATTTGAGTTATTCAGTCTGACATGTTCACTGCTCCAAAATACTTTAAATGTTTCTCAAATTAAAACATATTGTGCTTAAAAGGGAAAAAAAAAGAAGTTTTTTTTTTTTTACCCAAACATTTAAATAATTTATTTTAAGTAGTAATTACTATATTGTGAACCCGTGATGTTTTTATCCAAGGTTATCAAATCGTCAGAATCTTCTACCGGCCCATACCTAGTTATGAAGACCATTATACATTAACAAGTCATGAGTTTATATTGGTCAAGTTGCACTTTTACTTAATATTATTTACTTTATATACAAGTTTAGCTGAAACTAAAGTTTTAATGTCAACAAACATGAGTAATTAAGTTAGCCATTTTTCACACACATATGACTTGTAAATTGTTTGGTCACACTTTATTTTGATGGTCCGTCTGTTGAATTTAAGTTACATTAGATTACATTAGACTCATTAGGTTATAAGTAGACTGTTAGGGTAGGGTTAATGTAAGTTGACATGTACTTGCAAAGTTTCTTATAGTCAGTTAAAGATCTGTTAAAGGAGCAATATACATTTGATGGAGTGGCCCTCCTAATATCTACAATAAAGTCTTTTGAAGCTAAATATCAAACCCAACAGGAAGTCAGATTTTTTTAACTTCCTCTGCTGAAAATGTGCAGTTTCTGCCATTTCCAGGCGTTGTATTTTAACAAACTTCTCCAAGGGATTTTATCAGATCAACACCAAAATTGCTTGTTGTAATCTAAAGGCCTGGTGGTGTCCATGGCGGCCTTTCCATCTTTGTTTCGCTATGAAACAGGAAGTTGCTATAACTCAGGCATCAGCCAAACCTGTTAATAGCGTCAAGCAATTTCTAAGTGTGAACTCTTGAAATTGTGAAAATCTAGAGTTTTTGTTGAAAGGCGTGTGACAAATCTCAGTGTTTCGGCATGGAAAAGCAAGCAGTTATTACTCAGGCTTACTATGTCCAGTCTGCTCCAAATTCCGCACCATTGATTATAGTACTACACTGAAGACATCTACATGTGAATATTCAATCGCAGTCATAGCACCACCTGCTGACAGAAGTTCATTGTGTTCTGTCAGCGGTGAGCCCAGGTGCAAGGTCCCTTTCATTGCTGCTTGCAGCTTTAATGCATGTACTATTATTGTGAAGTGTTACCAATTTTTGTATAAACTATCCTTTAATTAAGGTTTATTAAGACTCAAGTAAATTAATTGAAGTGTAATTTAAGTGATTTTAAACCTTTTTCAGATTCTTCTGTTGAAAACAAAATATTCCAAAGATTATTAAGTTTTGAAAAGCTCTTTGTTGTCATTTTTAAAATTGCATAAATGTTCATGAGAATAATTACTAAAAAACTAGTCCTAGTGACTATAGTCCTGGTCTGCTTTAAATAATTACAAATCTGTATAACCTAAAAGAGTTTTCCTTTTTAAACTACCCTCATGCATTCATCTCTGTTGCATTCTCTTTTGCTCGCTGACACACTCTTTAGTTCAATACTCGCTCCATTTATAAATCGGAGTTAGTTCTGCATGAATAATGCATCCTGACATAGACATGCCATTATAACACCTGATGGGCCTTTATGAAATATGTCTATCAATGTTATTGATGTCAAAGTCAAAGGTCCAATGGACGTTTCAGCATTAATGCATTGCATTAGCAAAGCACAGATGTACCAATGATGGGCATGAGATGCTTCAGGGAAAAATGCAGACTTCATCGCTCAAGAGAGCTATTGTGGAGTTCATGTTTTCTAAATAAATAAAATTAAATAAATAAATAGATAGATAAATAGTGTGTAGCATGAATGCCACACAACAAGAAGGTCACTGGTTCGAGCCTCGGCTGGGTCAGTTGGCATTTCTGTGTGAAGTTCTGTGTTCTCCCCGTGTTGGCGTGGGTTTCCTCCGGGTGCTCCGGTTTCCCCTGTAGTCCCAAGACATGTGGTATATATGAACTGAAAAAGCTAAATTGGCCGTAGTGTATGTGTGAGAATGCAACAGTGTATGGGTGTTTCCCAGTGTTGGGTTGTGGCTGAAAGGGCAAAACATATGCTGCGTAAAACAGGCTATATAAGCTGGCGGTTCATTCCGCTGTAGCAACTCCAGATTAAGAAAGGGACTTAAGCACAAAAAGAAAATGAATGAATGAATGAATTAAATTTTATTAAACTTAATAAAAGTAAATTTTAAATAAATAAATACATAAATAAATAAATAAACAAATAAACAAAAATAAGTAAATAAATAAATATTAATCTCAATAGTTGTTGACAATGCTTGGATGCAAACAATCATAACAAAATTAATGCACCATATGTACTTTCATATGGTTCTATTTTTAACTTTGAGACATTCTAGGATTGTGGGATTTGTGCCTCGTCTTTTTGCATGAACTATGTGGGTGTATGCACTTTAAAGCTGTCCAATTCTGTTGATAAGAATGAGGATAGACAAAGGATTAAGTGACTTTAGTTGCTTAGTTCGGGTGACTACTTGCACATTTACACTTCCGTATGAATCTCTCTCTCTCTCCCTCTCTCTCACCCAGACGCACAGATTATGTCACTGTGCTTTATTAATCTTACAGCCCCAAGTGCTTCATCCAATATGATGTTTATTCATCTGACTAAAACCTTATTTCTGGCTCTCCAAAAAATCTATCTTCCGCAATGTCCTCTAATCACAAAGGCAAAAAGTTATGAAGTGCAATAGAGGATTGAGAGACAGGTAGAGGTATGCACAAAGAGGGAGGTGCTGTGCATCCTGGTGGTCCACTGCCAGAGTGACCACAGCAAAATTGATTCACTCTTGCTGTATAAACAGAGAGCAACAGGAACAAAAGAGGCTTACGTCTGAAATGCAGGCATTTTTTCTTTGAGATTAACTGAAAGCAGCAGACTGAAAAAGACGGAGAGTAAACACAAGAATTGGACTGACCAAAAGGAATGTGAGTAAAAAAAAATCACTTTTTTTGCTTTGATTAGATTTGCTTCTGTAAGTAACCAAATTTAATTTGACAACAAGGATGATTTATGGTTTTAATTATATTTTAATGTGATTTATTCATTCATTCATTTTCTTGTCGGCTTAGTCCCTTTATTAATCCGGGGTCGCCACAGCGGAATGAACCGCTAACTTATCTAGCACATTTTTACGCAGCAGATGCCCTTCCAGTCCCAACCCATTTCTGGGAAAATGTGATTTGTTATCTATTTATAGTATGTCTTCACTTTAAGAGAATGTTTTGGTAACACTTTACAATAAGCAGTTCATTCAATTTCACTCATAACATACATTAACTTTGGATATTGCAATAGTTAATTATACGAATAAATAAAATGTTCGCAGATATTTCTTTTTATCTGTTTATATTTAGTTTTAGGTTGAGTAATTTGGATTTGAGCAATTCCAGCGTTATGGATGTGACATTTGCAGTGAAAACTCAAAGCATAAATTCATATAGAAAGTGTATGTTAACATTATATTGAAAATTTTGTTTATATTTTTTTGAACAACTGACCACAGAGTTATAAAATCAGAAAAAATGTCAATCTATAAACATGTTTTGTACTTGGCGAAAAATACATATGAAAATAAGCATGCATTATGGATGTGACAAAAAAAGTCTGCAGGTTTACAGTATTCAACATAGTAGAAACTCTGTGAATTAAACTACACAACCCAAAAGATTCAATGACAATCAAAAGGATAAGAGTTGGCTCTCTTGATCAGTTTTATTTAATTTAATATTTTTACATTTATGAGGAAAAAGTGTCGTTATGGATGTGACATCTCTCCGTTATGGATGTGACAGACATGAAATTGTCATTGGTGTGACTTTGGTAAATTAAATAGAATAGTTTAAAAACATTGGCAGATGCATATTTGAGTATTTCTAAAGTACTGTAAAATTCTTGTTTACCACAAAAAACACAGTTTCCTTATTTTGGTGAAAACATAATTTTTTTCATGGCAAGATTGACATTTGCATGGAATTGCTCATATACATTAACATTATACATTAACTTTGCATGTTGCAATAGTTAATTGTAAGAATAAATGAAAGGTTAGCAGCTTTTATTTATCTGTATATATTCAGTTCTGTTTATATTCAGTTTGAGTAATATATCATTTAAATTCAGTGCTGTATAAAGTGAGCTAAGAGTGAATAAAAGCATATTTAAGTTCAAATTTAATCTAAAGGTAATCAAGCCTAAACAAATGCTGCAGTCACTGTAGCGAGAGGTCTTTTTTAAATAGTTGGGTCCTTATTGCAGTGATAAGTATTTTTTTCTGGCTTTCTTGATCTTTATAACAATTATTTTAACTCACTATAATGTAAATAAAATGTGACTAGCTTTAAAAAAAATCAGAGCATTTATTTTATAGCCATATTCAGGCCTGTAGCCGGCCTTTCTCTCTCTCTCTCTCTTTTTTTTTTTTTTTTGCAGTTATTTGACTCATTTTCTATTTAATTATGAAAGGTACAGTAAATACTACCAGTAACATTTTAAACACTATTTTTTTTTTTAACTGGATTAGCTGGTCGGGTGTTCAAAACACTTTTTGATGTACCAAAAATATTTCCTAAAGAATTTTTTAAATATATAAATATAAATAAATTTCTTATTTTTAAAATACAAGTTTATTTACATCATATATCATAATATCATATATCATATATCATAATAGGAATCTACTCAACTTGGAGTTATAAGGTTCTATCCACATTCTAAATGATTTTAAGATATTGAGTTTCAAAGATTTTGCATTCCATTAAGCAAACATTATGTTTGCTTAATAGAACATTTGTTTTTTTTTTTTTAAATAAAAAGTCCTAAAATGTACACAACTTATAAAAAACACCCCATTTACATTATGTAAATAAGTTGTCATTTAATAAGAATATGTGAATAAGTTGTCATTTAATAAGAATATGTAAATAACTTAATTTTGACAAAAATGTCAGATAGAACCTTGTAATTCTAAAGACAATCTAAAGTTTTAAGTGAAAAACTGCAGCCTATTGTCATTTACTTGGAAAATAACAAACTGGCCAGCACATTCAACTCTCCTCAGTTAGAATTTGGATAATATTTGAATAATAAAATATTAAAACATAATAATAATAATAATAATAATAATAATAATAATAATAATAACAATAATAATAATAATAATAATAATAATAATAATAATAATAACAATGTGGTGGTTCATTCCGCTGTGGGGGCCCTTGATGAATAAAGAGACTAAGCCGAAAAAGAAAATTGATGAATGAATAATAATAATGTAGAGCTTCATGATTTTACATTTGAAACTTCATGGATAACAACAACAGCCAAATTAGTTTTTTTAAATATATTTTTATATGGGCTGCTTGTGGTGCTTAACAACATTTTCTTTATTTTTTGTTGCAAGAATAAGATTCAAGATTTAATTAACCAACAATACAGTGGGTCAGTAGTGAAAGATGACCTCACTTACGTCAGATTGTATGTTTTCTTGCAAAGCTGGATGTTGAAACTGGTTAGCAGAAGTCACGCTGATAAGTCAGTAAACAGAGTATTCCGCCTGGTCTCAAAGCCTTTCTCGATGGGTTATTTTCACAATTATGGTGGCATAGCAGTTAAAATAAGACTAATGAGTTCATATATGGGACAAATTCTGGACATTTGTCAGTGAGGGGTGCCCTCCCTCCTCCATATTCTATGTTATGATGCAAATGTTGACAATGATGACAATGCGATTGGGCCAACACAGTGGAAATTGTTCAGGAACAATCATTGTTGCATGATTTGGCCTCCACAGAGCCCTATTGAAAATCTTTATGATGTGCTGCTGTTGAATTTACAGAGTGGTTTGGGTCTCTCCTTGCCAATATGATATATCAGCCAAAATGAATGCAACGCAGCTGGGATTAAAAGATATGTTCAGCTCGCTGTGATCATCAATCATCATCAAATATGAATGTGTTTTACAAGTTTAAAATCTTTTTAAAACAGTGCATGTTTGTAATGAATGACAGTCATTTTTCCGTCTTTATCATCACAGCCGCAAAGTGTCAGAACAATTCTAAAAGAATTTTAGCTACATTGGGCCCTCATATACCCGGCGCAAGGCGGGACGTAAAGTGCGACGCAATTGTTGTTTGCTAGTTTTAGCGCATGAGTCGTTTTTATGTTTTGCACCACGCTCTTTAAATACCAAATGCATTTGCGCTTATATGTGGGCCCATAGGCGTTCTGGTCTTAAAAAGGAGGCGTGTTAAGGCACATTGCTGGCGCATTGCTATTTTGAGGAACTATAATGGACTGCACAATAGACCAGAACAAAGCAGTTCTAAAGTCCACCGCAGACCACGATAGTTGTGCATCTCGCTTACACATTGCTTAGTACACACTGAATGTACAGCAATGCCCAAATATCTTTACAAATAAAAAAGAATTAAAGGATGAAAATATTACAAAAAATATTATTTTCTAACCTACATAAATATAAAATCCACCGCCAAATCTTCATCTTTGCTTTTATATGATGTTATTAATAATAGTAGTAATATTTATTATATGCATATTTATATTTGTTTTTTAAAAAAAAACCTTAGATTTGTCCACCTGTCATATGGGGCACAGCATGTATATTTGGAAATAACTCAGTTGTTTGAGCACACTTCATTATTATTTTTCATTAATTCATTTGCTGGAAATTAGAACTGAATTTAGAAAAAGTTTTAAAACAAATCTTTGCGCTTAGTAAAAAAAATTAATTATGTATAGGCTAATGGATGTCTGTGCTTACAACATGTTTCTCTATCCATGAGAGTGAAAGTGAAAGTAAAGAATGAGAAGGCTCATCTCTCATTCTCGCGCTGCAGGTGCGCTGTTTAACTGTTTTCTTGCTAGTGAAGTGCTCATTTTTACCACTTACAAAATCTATCATGCAAATAGCAAATGCTATTTTTTGCAAATGCATAACGCAACTGACTCTTAAAGGGAATGGGAGATGAGACTCTGATTGGTTTCTACTCAAAAGACACAGATGATTCATTAAGAGAATACGCTCAACCATGTCAGACCATGCACCGCAGCGCAAAACAGATTTTTCCATCCTCAAAATAGTAAAAGTGGATTTGGACAAGTCCTTAATGCTTTTGTGCCCTGCGCTTTAGACTTTGCGCCTGGATCGTCAAAATAGAGCCTATTGTGTATAAAGCAAAAAATCCCAACATTCTTAAAGTTATATTAAATAATCTGATAAGTGTTTTAAGCTGAAACTTTACAAACACATTCTGGAGACACTGAAGTCTTATTTTAAATCTTTAAAAAAGGGGTCAAATAGGGGCCCTTTAATATTTGCATGTACAATATGGAAGGAACTTTCTAATATTCATGGGGCCCTCGGCAGGTGCAGACTGGCCATCTGGTAATTCTGTTCAATTATAAAATAATAATAATAATGATAATAATAGCAAATGTTAAGCATTTGGCCCAATCAGCAATGGCCAGTTGGTTTCGTGATAGGCCGAACCAATCAGAGCTTACACGGACGTAATCAAAATCTGGCAAGAATGTAAAACAAACAATAAGTGCCACACAAGCTAATTGTCAGAGATGTACTGTTAAAAGAAAAGTCGGTAGTATATGTCTCAGAGAAAGCAAAAAAAAAAGGGCTCTAACATCAGATGCTGCCAAATGCATAAAATTAACTAAAATATTCTTGAAAGGTTTTAATTCTGCTGCTACGTCGGAGGACAGTAGCGCGGTAGAGGAGGTAAGAAGAAAACAGAAAATATACATCTAACTCACTATACTAAAACATACTAAGTAATTTTCATGCCATTCACACTACTTCTGACAGTTTGTGACAGTAACCTACAGTGTTTAACAGTTGTAAGCTTAGCGTAGAACTCCTTTACATTTTAAAATGTCATTATCAGCAGATAAC